GGCAGCTATTTCAGACGGACTTCACACATATGATGAGTGTGTTACGGTGCCCTGACAGCTCGGGGCTAGACTTGAGTGACCTTAACTTAGCTTGTTAGTAACCTCCTCTATATCTGATGACTAAGCAACCCCATTCTTGGACGAGAGGTCTGAAGGCCATCTTACTCCGTACATAGTTCCTTGTCATGGCTGACCAGTTATGAGGAAAAGTATCGTCGACATCCGTACCACCCATACTCAATTGTAAGTACCATCGAGGCATATCCTCCCATACGGAGGACAGAAGACAAGAACACACCAAATTCAGCCAAATTCGCCGTTGTAATATTGCGGCAGACCATCCATATACGCATGTTGTCCACAATGGGAACAAAAATGGCATACTCAGCAAACAGGGAGATGATCTATATGAATTACATCCCTTCGCTGCTCCGCGGTTTTCCCTTCGCAGATGGAGCCATATCCTCCAGACTGGAAATACATACATATATATTAGCTGATCTATTATTAGAAAAGTAACTTTGCAGGAGAAAGGACAAAAAATGAATTGATGCAGCGTCTGTCGCTGGTTCTAGCTATAATCTAGCGGCAGTTGATCTAAAATGAATGGACATAATAGGTACGCCATCTACAGTTAAACCCCAATAACCAAATAAGGAAGGAAATACTCCGTACACGGCTCTCCATCCAACAACATACCAGAAACATGCAATCCCCCTCCACCAATCAAAATCTGACAAAATCACCCCCACCCATGCTATGCTATCCCATCCCATGAAAGTAAAAGAAGAACCTAACCTAACCAAACCAAAAGAAAAACAACCTCCTCTCAACTCCCGACCCCACCCCTCCTCTCCATGACCATCCTCACCGCCTCCTTAACCTCTGGCGCATCCCTTACAGACCCCAATACCAACACTTCCTTCATCCCCCTCCGCAACTTCCCCGCACTCTCCTCATCCCCTTTGAACGGCACCAGCCCCAGTTGCAACAGCCTCGTCGCCTCAGCCTCATTCGCCCGCGCTAGATTCACCAGCTGTGTAAGCTGCGCCTGAGTCGGGGGGTTTAAGCCGCCATTTCCGGCTGACGCTGACCTTGACGAGGATGATGAAGAGGAAGAGTCTGGTGGTGTCAGATGGGAGATGAAAATGTTTAGCGTCATGGAGGCGTTGCGGGCTAGGATGAGGCTTTGGAAGGGGAGGAGGTAGAAGGCGTCGAGGTGGAGGAGGGTGGAGAGCCAGGTAGGGAAGTGGGAGGCTGGAATGAAAGTGCCGTTGTGATGGGTGAGGAGAGCTAGTTCGAGGGCGAGGAGAGCGAAGGAGATGTAGAAGCGCCACTGTATTTTTCTCAAGTGGTTAGATTTTCTTCCTCTTCTTCTTCTTCTTCTTCTTCTTCTTCTGCTCTAGAGGACACGGTAAAACGGTTCGGCGAAACAAAAAAAAAAAAAAAAAAAAAAAAAAAAAAAAAAAAAAAGAGAGAGAGAGAGAGAGAGAACCTACATATCGACCCCAAGCAGAGAGCCAGAACAGATTCATCAGCACCATCACGATAAACCCGCCTATGTATTGGGGCAACAGCACCCGCAATCCCGCAAACAGAAACTCGCCCATCGTCTTCGCCTTCGACCCTTCCACCACCGCCTGCCCAAACCGATCGTACGCAAATCGCTTGACGGGATCCAGCAGCGTGTCCTGCGCCAGCCTCAACTGCACAAAGAGCGCGTCGGGCGATTCATAGCCGTCACCATCGCTGTTGAGAATGTACTGCTGGCTTTGGCGCTTGTCCGGGTGGTGCAGGGCGGCTAAGCGACGGAAGCGTGATTTGATAGTGCGATCGTTCGATGTCGGGAGCACCCCTAGCAGTTGGTAGAAGTCGCCCTCTACGCGGAGTTTGTGGTATGTTTCGTAAAGGGTGTAGAGGAGGTAGGAGGCTATGACGGCGATGTAGATTCTTCGGTAGTGGCGGGCGTAGCGGGGGCTGGAGGGGGAGGGATGAGGGTCGCCGGCGCGAATGGTGATGCGGTAGTAGATGTTCTGGAGGAAGGAGGTCACATACTGTGGCGCACTCGTTAGCTCAGGGTATATTTATGCGCATATGTAAAGGAAGAAAGTTTACTCTTGGGAGAAATGCCCAGCCGGCGTAGGAGAGGACCGTGGAAAGAATGTCGTCGACCATATTTGCGGAAGATGAACTGTCGAAGCTCACAAACACATAGAATTTCGCCGACAAAGAACGAAGCAATTTAAGGGACCAACAAAAGAATGGTGTACATGTCTCCTCTTAGTACCGGCACATATAAGAAACAGAGAATGCTCTGCAAAACCAAATGTTAGACAAATTAAGGAACAGAATACCGGCTGTTGAATGATCAATGATATCTAGATCGGATGTTTGTGTTGTCTGCGCGGCGGCTTAGCTGGATATCTTGGCAAGCACCCCGTGATTCCGTGGGACAAAAAAAGTCTCTACAAAAAAAAAAAAAAAATCAATATCTGCACAAATACATTCAAACATTCAAGCTGCAAGTCACAACGACAAGGTGGTATATCGGCATGCGCTATGTCATTGGACGCAATGGACATCGACTCCGTCCCCGTCTCACCAGAGAGAAAGCGCAAAAATAGAGAAAAGGACGGCCACTCAGCCAAAAAGCGCAAACATGAAGTGAGCAACTACGCCGCGCAACCAGAGGCAGAAGAGTCTTCACCAAAGGCCAAGAGGAAAGAAAAGAAGGATAGGAAACACAAGAAACATAAGCACCATGATGACTTCGAGCCATCTGCGCCGACGCTACCAGCTTCCCCCAATCCACGATCACAAATCACCAAGAAGCACAAACATCAGTCCCAAGCAACCCAGGATGAAGAAGAAGAACCCCCAACAACCTCCAGAAAACCTCTCACTAAGGCCTCCGCATCACGATTGGAATCTGCATCCACAGACTCGACGGAATCCTCCCCCTTCCACCTCATAACCGCAACGCTCTACGTTCCTCTGTCTCCAATCTCCATCTCCCCAACCCACGCACTCTCCTCCCTACAAGCTGAACACCTCTCTCCGCTCCTACTCACCTACTTCCCACCCCTCCGCGGCATCGTGCTCGCTTACTCCAACGCCTCCATTTCCTCCATTCCTCCCTCGCCATCCTCCCCGTCAACCCCGCACAACCTGGATGAGAGCCCGAAGCCACACCCGTTAACCCTCGCCATGAGCGCGGGTGAGTACGGCGTCCTTTACGTCTACCTGACAGCCACATTTTTGGTGTTTCGCCCAGAGCGCGGACAGGCGCTCGAGGGGTGGATAAACGTTCAATCCGACGGCTTCCTTGGCGCCGTGGTGTACAATCTTTTCTCCGTCGGGATTGAGCGGCGCCGGCTCCCCGCTGACTGGAGATGGGTGGCGCCGGGGCAGGAGTCGACTACATCAATGTCGGAAGCGGTTGCGCCTAAAGATCGTGGCGGCAGTGTTGGCGTCGGCATCGGCGTCGACGACGATGACGATGACGATGACGATGACGACGACGAGGACAAGTCTTCAGACTTCGATTCTGATAAGGAGAATTTCCGGCCCCTGCCTGCGTCGTCCGCTGCGATGCTTGACCACAGCACCCAGCATCAGAACAATGGCGGCTTGGAGCCACCGTTCGAAGCATTCGAGGATGCCTCGGCGGGTTATTTCCAGACACGCTCGGGGCGACGGGTTCGCGGGATGGTCCGCTTCCGTGTAAGAGATGTGGATGTCATTCCCGGTGCGGAGCATGATAAGGGTTTTATAAGCATTGAAGGGACGATGCTGAGTCCTGAGGAGGAGGCGAGGCTGGTGGAGGAGGAGCGTAAGAGGGCTGGGTTTGCTCCTTCCTCGTCCTCGTCAGCGGTTGCGGCGGCGGCGGCAGGAGTATCAGGTGGAAATGGCAATGTTGCACCTCAGCAGGCGGTGATGTCCGGTGGCTTGGGGACATCGAGAGCTTCTACTGCTACTGCTGCTGTTGAAATCGAGGAAGAACCGGAGACGGAGATGCCCGTGCGGCGGAAGAAGGGAAAAGAGAAGGAGAAGGAGAAGGAGAAGGAGAAGAAGAAGAAGAAGAAAGGAAAGAAGACGACTCTGTGAAAACCTGGTGAGAGGCTTCAAGGCGATGGCGGAAGATGAGGTTTTGAGAAGTGTTGGATGGGAAGTTGGTTTGGCATATACTCCATCTTCTTTACTTTTATTCTTTTTTTTTTTTTTTCAACTCTTTTAGATCTGATAGAAGGGAAGGAGAAAGATGTCGATTTCCTATTTTTTCAATTTACACCATCATTGTTGATGTTGGTCATGTATCTATGTTTTGGGAGAATCTTCCTTGTTTTTGCATGATCTTGCTTCTTTTTTCCCTCCACCCACTTTTATTTTTGGAAGCATGCTCTAAGAATATAGAGCTGATTACCATTTTTTCAGTGATGAGAAAGTCCAGAGAACATTTCATTTATGAAGCGAGTTTTATTTCGGATCTTTTTTGTCCTTTGTAATTCTCAGATATATTCCACTGCCATTCTTGTAAATATGGGCAGGCGATTCCATGCATCATCATGATACATTCCCCCAAAGTTCAATCTAGGCCTGTCCCATCCCATCCAGTAATCCAGGATAAGTACACCCACCCCCTTTCCCGAGAAAAAAAAAAAAATCAAATTTCAGATTCAAAAACACATGTATACACTTTTTCTCATTCCAAATCTACCTTCAACACATCCACTCCCTCGATCACCTCTTTTTTCCCTAACATCTTCCCTCTCTTCATCAACTGTGCACACTTCATAACAATCGGGTCCATTCCCAGACTCGCAACTGCCACCACCGTCTCACCCAGCACATAATACGCCACAAACTTCGCCGCCTCAGGTTCCCCCTTGACAATCAAATCGTCAAAGCCATTCATCGTATTTCCACAGTAACGCAGCTGCCCACCGAGCGATGACCAGAAGATCGGAATGAATGATTTCGCTTTCAGAGGCACGGAACTGTTGCTCGAGAAGGCGTGGGCGATGGTACGCCCAACGCTTCTCCCCGCATTTTGTGCTACGTCCCAGTGCTCGATGCGTACATGCGAATGGCCGCCTTGCCCTGCCCCAGGCCCGAGATAGGGGTATGTGGCGATGTCGCCGATTGCGTAGACATCGCTGCTGCTGCCGTCGCTGTTGTTTCCCTTCAGGCACTCGACGGCAAAGTATTCGTCCGTCCTGAGGGACCCGTCGCGTTCCAGGGTTACGCTGGGGTTATCGCGGAGGAATTCAGTGGCTGGGCTGACTCCAACACCCAGGATGACGAGATCAGCTGGCAGAGAGGTACCGTCCTTGAAGTGGACGGCGCCTACCTTTGACGGATCTGCGGAAGACGGTGTCGCTTTATCGACGGAAGCAGACATGTAGAACTTAACGCCGTTTTTCTCCAGGTTATTTTGGAAGATGCGCCCGATTTTGGCACCCATTATGCGCTCGAGCGGCGCGGATTCAATGCCGACGATTTTTATATTGTTCTCTTTGGAGAGCGCGTTGCCTACTTCCATGCCGATGAAGGAGCTGCCGATTACTACAATTTCTTTCTTTTTGGTAGAACCCACAGCGGCTAGGATGGCCTGCACGTCTTGTATGGTGCGGAGGACGAAGATGTTCCCCAGCTCTTTGAAGCCGGGCAGTGGCAGGTGGCGAGGGGTTCCACCTGTAGCGAGGATTAGCTTTGTATATGGAATAGACTTGCCGGATTTGGTAGCTACGGTTTTGTTTGTGAAATCGACAGAGGTGGCTTCGTCTGAGACCACGGAGATGGAGACTGAGGTGTACCACTCTTGCGGTCTCAGGAGGAGCTTCTCTGGTTCCGGGATCAGGGCTTTGGAGAGCTTTGTTCTGTCAAGGGGGAGGTTGGCCTCCTTGGAAATTATTGTGATCTGGCCATTGAAGCCATGCTCGCGGAGTACTTCTACTGCTCCGATTGTTGCGCTTCCGCTGGATGGGGAAAATTGTATTAGTAGCTGCATGGTGTAGAGAGGAGGGAAATTCTGCAGACTGACCCTCCGATAATCACAACCTTCTGATCTTGTTGCGCAACACTGCAGGAAGATACGGGAAGTCTGCCATTTTCCTTGAAGGTGGCTTCATCCGCCTTGACATAGACACCGCCATCCTTCTCAAATACTTCATATTTATGCAGCGCATTCAAAGCTGGCGCGTCTTCCACGTCTCCAGTTGTAATATTAAAGCAAGCTGACGCATATCAAAATATGGAACCTGTTAGCGCAGACTAATTCGATATCTCTTTCGATGAAATTTGATTATGTGCGCCAAAAAAGAAGAGAATATATATATAGGTAAGAATTGTAAAATATAACTTCCATCTGAACATAAATACTAGTACATACCACCATGCCATGGACAAGTCAGTCTTGCATCCGGACTGAGCACGCCCTTTACCAGCGGCGCCCCATAATGCGTACAATTAGCAGTGAGTGCATGGATCTGGCCGCCATGTTTCAAGAGCAAGAGTTTCCCCTTCTCGATCTTCTCGACCTCTACTTCTATCTTGTCAGAAGGGAGATCAAGTGAGGTCAGGCCCTTGATTTTGAAAGTAGATGTTGATGACATTTTTAAATTAGACGCAGACAACTGTGGTGAAGTTGTGAAGTGGTTTATGCGTGCTTTGGCCCTTATTATTCTTGTAGAATTGCTGCTGCTGCTGTTACCACTGCTGTTGCTGGAGTTGTTATTCCTGGGGTTGACGATTCGAGAGGTATGGACGTGCTTGATGCGGGGAAAGTTTACAGCTGCTTGCGGGCGACAGGATGCAAGGATCGATGACGTGCGAAGCGGCTTCCACAATGCACGATTCCTGGTCCAGGAACCTACAGCAATAACTGGAGCAGAAGTGTGAATTGGGTTACACTGCAACGGGTGATGATGGAGCTGGAAGTGGGGCAAGGGCAGAAGGACATACTATGGAATGACGCCAGTTTAAATGCCCAAGGGCGGTAGGAATGAGGCAGGATAATGGATTTTTTGAGTATATCGATCTCATCAGAACTATAAATTGCCCAATGTTGGTCCTGCGTTTGCAGGGAGGTTGGCCAGGGCGCTTGTCGTGACGTCATTGGCGGTTTTGTCTCACCCAAGTTGGCACAGGTTGACATTTTCCATATTTCGAGTGCTAACATGTCTAGATGATATATACATGCAAATAAGTAGTTCCAATAAGTAGTTCCATCCAGGTCCCAGTCAACTCCAGCTACGCTCTCTCAAAACTCGGTATTCTCACTTCAGCCTTGAATAACAACTATATCACACTCTTTCCCCGTAGACCTTTCCTCCGCGTTCGAACTGAAGGGACTTCTGCCCCGCGGGGCCCGCGGCCTCTGACGTTCCGTTTCTTAATCCATCCAGGGCCCTGTGGAAGTCCCTGAGACGCCGCGAAATCTCCGTCTGAATTCCCAGGCGACTCGAGCTCGCTAGATATCGTTAAATCTACAATAGAACTACAGCTCTCTTGTGACATTCCTAGCTTGGGGATATATTTGGAATGCTGCGTTGACTCCTTATCAGCCTCGGCAATAGCTGGAAGATCCGACCGCTCGTCGTAGCACTGGGGTTTCTGATGGGGTGAAGATGATAGCTGGTGTGGCGATGAGAGGACTTTGCGGTTGTTTTTTCTATCTACAGGCCTGGGCGGGGAATTCTCCGCCGCTGTTGTTGTGCGGGGTGGGGCAGTGGAGGCGAATCGCGCGATGGGTGGTGATACAGTTGGAAAACCCCTATCGGGTTCGTAGAAGGGATTGGTGATTACAGATTCACCACTTGAACTCCGGCGGTGTTCAGCTGGCTGGCTGTCTTCTACGGCGGAAGCAAGAACTGAAAACTGGGAGTCATCATGATCCAGAGTCATCCTATCCAGCTTAAGTGATGCAAATGAGGAGTGGTAAATGTCCGCAGACAGAAGGGCCATCGGCTGAACATGCTGCGCACAGTCATCATTTGGAATATCATCGGCTGATTTGGTTCCAGGGTCTAAATCGGTTCCGATGTGTGTCTCGTCAATTGGAGGGTCAAAGCTGTGAAGTGGTTGCTTGGTTCCTGTCCGATGGCATGGAATCCTGGACAAGCAGATAGCCGGACTCCAGAGTCTGAGGTTGATCGTCCGATGATAATGCCGGCGATTTCTGATGCTCAGGCTCCGGCTTGAGTGCAGAGGGATCGGACAAAACATCTTGTATACATGAAAATGAACTGAGTACCTCCGCGATGATTCTCTTTCTAGGCACATTTAGTGGAGAGCAGTTTCCTGAAGACTTAGACACAAGTGAGTCGTTTCGGTGACAATGTCTTGAGGGACTTAGTGGCGGGCTAGAGGTAAAGCCAGCAAAAACAGGAGATTTAACTATTGGCGTGGCCACTCCATCAAATCCATTGTTTGTCCTAGAACTTTGGGCGTCGAAGAAGGCATCTTCAGGAGCTTCAGGAGGGAGAAAGTCTGAGTCGAATCCTGATCGGAACCCAGCCTCTCGAATCATTGTTGAAATCTTGTGTCGCGTCGGGGAGGAAACGGTGACGACTTCAGGAATCGAGGGGGAAAGTTCAGTGAAACTGGTTCAGGTATCGGGTAAGCTGGCAGGCGCATTAACATGAAAGGAGAATTTATACCAACAGATGGTTCTGTGTCTCCTCCGCCACCTCCACCAGACTATCCCCAGACCCTGCGGACAGCAATTTCGGTTCTATGAGCTCTTCAAATTGCACTTCCCTGAATCCATCATCTTCGCCTTTCCATTCATCATATCCAGGCATCTCAAACTTGGTGTACTGTGCCACTCCATTGTCGTTATCGTCATGGCTTTGCGGAGGTTGCTCTCTATGTTGTCGTGCAAGTCGCATTGTCAAAGTCCCATCCACAACACTTTCGACCACGGCAGTGCGATATTCTGACACCAATGGTTGCCAGTTCGTAGCTTTAGACATGTCCAATTGCTTAAAAGCGATGATTGTTCCAGGCTTCATATCAGCGCCTTGTGCATCTTTCAACGTTGATACATCGTCCGGTAAACTTGGAAGATCATCGGTGGACGCACCCCTTCCCAAAGGAGCGGCCTCCATACCAGTAGCATCCTGGATTTGCGGGCCAGGGGCAGCTCTGTTAAGCGACTTAGCTGGGGTGGTTGGATGTTCACCAACCCCATCACCTCCATAATCTAGATGATTTTCGTTTGAAAAACTGGCTTCTCCGTTGCAACAGTCGTCATGATAGTCTTCTACCCGGTGATTTCGAGATTTCCGCTTCCGCTTCTTGCCACTAACTTGTTGACTCCCTTTAAGTTCGCGGATTTTGGCCTGGGCATCCTTATCCCATCGTTGAACGAAAGGAAACGGTGGTGCAGATAACTTTACATCGTCATAAAGACATTCCGTAGCTTGGAGAATGAGTCGATCTTGCCAGTTTTCAATTAGATCGATTTTCGCCTCCGTAGGCTTCTCGACTTCTTCAACCAACGGCAATTCTTGTGATGGTTTTGGTTGCAGTACTTGTGGAGTGAGCTTCTCTCGTAATGTCTCTTCACTTTCCTTGGTCTTGGGGCGCTTCAAGCCCAGCGAATCAAATACAAGTTGCCGAGAGCTGGGAACATCTGATATCGATTTTCTCTTGGATGATTTTCCAGTTTTGCTTGGAGCTCCATTGGCCCCATTTATAGGTGTGGTTGACAAAGATTCCGGAGGACTAAATGTATTAGTGTTCCTGGTAACCTGTGGGCTCCCGTGTACTCCGTTTGAAATATCACGCAACAGCTGTTCACGCTTCCGCTCGAATTCTGCTTGCTCATCAACGACTTTCGTTTGAGTTCCTGGGGTCGCTTCACCCAATACCTCCGGAAACGGGCCTGGATGGGCCTCGCACCACTTGCGCAGATCGTCGAAATTAGCATCTTTATGAAGTGTTCCGAGCTCCTTCAATTTTTCGAGTTTTCTCCGTAATTTATTTCTCCTATTGGTGTTTTTCGTCTTTCGAGAGCCAGTACCGGGAGGATGATCAATTACCCGGGGAGCAGCTATAGTTGTCTTTGTATCAGTTCCCGTTAAAGAAGTTGTCGTTTGCCCTTTGGCACTGAAAGTAGGGGATTTGATAGCTTCGGATCCTGTGATAGCTTCGGATCCTGAAGTTGATGAATTGCCACTAGAATTTGAAGAGGCTTCGGACGACGCTTCGCTCGAGCTGGAGTCGCTAGAAGAAATGGAGCTTGTTTCATTCTCGTCGCTTGACTGATCAGTACCAGAAACAGAAACACCATCGCTAACCGATTCCGCATCGGAGGCTTTTGATCCCTCGGAATCAACGTTCTGATGATCCTCGAAGCTTACATTGGCACTTTGCTTTTGTGAAGTTGTGGAGCCTGTCTGTCCTTTTCGATGCAAGATCCCGTGGGTTTTACGTTCCACAACACCAAGGTTCGCTTGTGCTTCTCGCTTCTGTCGCTTGGTCGCTTGTTTTTTCGACCCACGTGTGGACGGCAATGAGCCGGTCGCTTTCGCTCCAGGCTGCTCCTCAGTTCGTCGCTCATAGGACATTATTGCTTCCTCAGACGGGGTTACAGCAGATTCATCGCTCTCGCTCTCGCTCTCGCTCTGATATTCATATTCATCGTCATCCTCGTCACTGTGGTCTACATCCCTAGCCGCAACCACAAGCTCTTTCCCAGCTCCGTCCACCTCTTCTTTCCACTCTGGGTCGTTCTCTTCATCATATTCATTTTCATCGTTATAGTCTCCTGCAAGAGGGTCATCGATCCGCCATCCACCAAAGTTCAAACGCCTTTTCTTCCGTGGTGGGATTGTAATAGGCGGCCTTGATGACGTGGCTTTTTGAATGTAAGGTTTCCCAAATGGAACACCGTCGATTAAATGTTTCCCATCGATAGTAATCTGATGCCGGCCCGTGAGTCTCCTGGCCATGAGATCGCTAAGTTGTAGTGCGCGTATTCTACAGCCCACAATGGAAAAGGATCCCAGAGTCAGTAAATCATAAGCCAATAAAGAAACGAAAAAAATATATATATATATATATATATATATATATATAAAGAACTTGGCCAAAGGATAAACATACACAACCTCATCTCCATCTCTCAGCAGCCCATCAACCTCCATGAAATGTAAGCACTCAAACCCCATAACTTCCACCGCATAATCCTCCAGGCCCCATTGTCCCGCATCACCAATACCATCCTCAACGTGTGTCTCAAGTGGAATAACCTCATTCACATCTTCCAGCAATTGTGCAATGGTCAACCCCCCGCTTCCCGAAGCCGCGGCGGAGGCGCCAGCTCCAAAGCCAGAATTTGGCGCGCGCGTTGACGTAAGAGTAGAAGATGACACAGTCGCGAAGGGACAAGACAGCGGAATTGGCTTTGGAAGAAGCAGAGCTGGGCGAGGATGTCGTCCAGAGGACACGGGTAGTGGGGAGACCGTGCCGCTGTATAACGAGGTGGAGACGCATGGCGGTGTTTTTTGGGTTTAGGACGTGAAAAGGTGTCGGGGCAATGGTAGGATAAGGACCCTATCAATTTCTTTTTCTTCTCCTAAGCCTTGCGGTATCCCTTATTTCGGCAGCCTTAGCTAGTTGGATCTTGTATGTGGAAGTTATTTTTTGTTAAAGGGATATATATAGCAGATGTCAGGCAGTCTGGCACCAGGGTAAGCGAGCCAGTAGACTGGCGATCTGATCTAGAGCCAGGATAACGAAGGTGCAGGAAACAATTATGTAGTGATTAATTCCAGTCGCACCTTTTACCATTTTCTTTTAGCTCTCAGTGTCTGATCACTTTTGGTGGTACGGAGTAGTTAGCCTTCATCTAAAAAGCTGCCTATCCGAGTCTAGCGCCACCTTTATTTCCCCTTATTTTATTTCCACAATTCTAAGAGCAGCTATTTGAGAAACTTATCTCAATGAGCCATATTTAATATTTGACCTCTATTGAAATTGCTAATAAATTTGTAATTCCGGTCAAAGTTGTCATTATCCTCACATTCTTCTTTTTTTTTTAAAACAAAAAAAAAACCACTAGTATGTTCCATTTTCCCTAAGTTGAAGTCCAAATCCAATGTGTGGAGGCGAGGAAAGAAGAAATAAAATAAAATAAGAAAACGCTTTCGTTATCCGAGTCCCTGAGCTCTCGCTGTCATGACATGTCGTTAGCCAAACAGAAAAATATACGATGGGTAGAAAAACCAAAGGAAAGGCGGTTGTGGAAATTAAGGGAATGAAACATTTGATGGAGACGATGACATGACCGCACCCAAATGCTATATTCTATCTAGCCGCTCGCATCCAGCAGATGACAGACGGCCCCACTATATTCTGTGGGATAAGGACTCAGGCATTCCCAGGGGTTATTCCCGAGCCTTCATTGTTTTCCCGCCCCAGGTACGGGTTTTCTACTGGGAACTCCCATGAACGGCATTGGTCTTCGTTGTGGTTGCTCCTGTCGTGCTTGTGGTGACTGTGTTGCTTGTGGTGTTTGTGGCGACTGTGGTGCTTGTGGTGACTGTGGTGACTGTGGTGAATGTGGTGAATGTGGTGACTGTGGTGACTGTGGTGACTGTGGTGACTTCGGTAGCTGCAATAGTTGTTGCGCCGGGTATGGAGTTTCCCAGACAACTTGTGTTTGTTGAACTTGCCCAGCTGATGTCGATTGCGCCAGCCGGCTAGCACCATGTCCATCCAGAGAAGTCGCATTCGCATGATAGCTATCGAAGAAAGACTCCGTTGATGCATTCCGCGGGTCGCTATTGGGGAAGAGCCGCTCGTCGTCTTTATGATTTTTCGCTGAACCCTTATTATCAGCCCCTGCCCATGATCCTGGCTCTGGGGGGTTATACTCGCGCCGCGGGCCGTCCACTGGCCCAAGAGCATCTGCCATGGCGTCTTCATAACTTGGAGGAGCATCGTCGTACTCGTCCTGCACAGGGGGAACTGTCGGGGCAACTTCGGGCCGAGGAGGCTTGGGAGGCGGATCATCAGATGCCTTGCTGCTCGCGAGCCATGCTCTGGGCTTAGGTGTGTGTTGATGGCAGACAGCTCGAGGCTGCTGTCCCCGGGCGTTGGAGGCGAACTGGAGTCGATAAGGTGTTTGTACGATGTCATAGCTGATGGATGATCTTGCGGCGGTGGCAGTTATCCAGCTTCCTTTTATCAGCCCCCGCACAGAATCCACGAATGGAGGCGCACCTCCGAATGTGAAGGACAAACAAGCGTCTGAAATAACTGTGCCGGGAAACAGTTCGTCCAGGTGGGCAAGGTAGTTTAATATTTATTATATACTGGAGGGAGGGGCCGAAGCAGGGTCTGGTTCATTGCATCGTTGGCATTCATAGTCGGTACCGGCATATACGCGGCGTAGACATATTGCGGACCAAATTGCCCTTGGTAAGAGGGGCATCGGGCTCCTGGAGACTTGAGATTGACCAGCCTCCCCTGCCTGCAGGGATCATGAAGCTTCTTTGAATGTTCGCTCAACGTTTCCAGTTCCACACCCATCAAAGCGAGTAGGGTTGTGACAAAAGCGTGGAAGCACATTATCGTCTGTGGGAGAAACACGACACCGGAGCATGATTAACTGTATGGTCATGATTCTGCCGTCAGGTACTAATGACCACAATGAGATCCTCAGTGTTCTGGCCTCTGGCCTGTGTTTGAGAA